ATGTAAAATAGTCAATCACTTAGCAAAAAAATTAGCTACATCAACATTTAACTGACGGAAAGACGAAATTGAAAATTGAAGTTGAAGGACGTTTTTGGTACTCTCTGAAGTTTAAGGATGAATTGGTTCAAAAATAAAAGTCAAGGGACCAATTCAAATATTTACCTAAAAAAATATGTTAGCCACGTCAGCATCACTATTCAATTAATCCTTAAATAAAAAAGTTAAAAGTTGACATCTTTAAATAGAAAATGTTGAAAGTTGACATCTTTATTTAGAAACTGACAAAGTTAATATCCTTATTTAGAAAAAAATTAAAAGTTAATATCCTTATTTAGAAAAAAATTGAAAGTTGACATCCTTATTTAGAAACTGACAAAACTAACATCCTTAAATTAAAAAAAATGAAAAATTGAAATCCTTCTTTGCACTTTTACTCCTCATAGTTTTAATATTAAGATATCTAAATTTTTTTTTCCTTTGCAAAATATTTGCTAAATTTTTTTTAATTTTTTAATAGTATTTATTTATTTATTATATATGTTAATTTTATCTTTCAATTAATAACATTTAAATTACTTTGATAATTATTATTAATTTATTAATAAAGACTAATAAATATTATTTAATTTCATAAAAAATATTATTTACAATAATTGTTTAAAAATTTTCTGTTCTTTCGCCTCCATTTGTCACTTTGAAAGATAATTCTAGCTCTGGCACTGATCCTGTGGAGCAGCTTCTGTGGAGTCATTACTCCTTTTTCGCCTTTTTGATAAATGAATGTACTGTAGAGTCATTTCAATTGGCTGCGCATTTCCGTGAAGGGGTGTCTGTGATTTTGGATGGATAAATCTATTATTATTATTTTATCTCAATTAAATTAAATTTAATTAATTTAATTAATGTGCACCTAATCCCTCAAGTGACTTCCGATCACATTGTGATGCATTTTTTTTTTTGTTGGATTTAAACCCATTTCTTAACACATTGTTCAAAAAAAAAATTAATGCATATTAAACTCTTAATTTGATCTCTCCGTTGTTATACAAATCATTCAACAGATCATTGAGTTGGTTCTTGAGTTAGAAATTTTTTTATTTAATTTATAAAATTTTTGAATTTGGTTCTAAGTTAGTTTTTTATTTAAAAATAATTGAGCATATTCTATTGCTAATATGATACATGATTATTAAATAATAATTTATTATCAAATACATCCGTTCATTGTTCTTTAATAAAATGATTAATTTGAAACTAAATTTAAAAGTTTTAAAAACCAAATTAAAAATTGTTTTTCAAATTTAAGAGTTAATTTAAGAGTTAATATAATAGTTAAGAGATTAAATTAGAGGTTTAACCATTAATAATATTATCACTAAACTAATTTAACTATTATTAAATTGGATTGGTTGAAATTCGATATATCGGTTTTGTCCTAACAAAAAAATATGTTTTTGAGTTTAATTGTATTTTTTTTTTTGTGAATTTTAATAATATAAAAATAAAAATAAAATTAAATAATTTATAATAAATAAAAGTATCATATAACGTAATTTTAAAATTATGATAAATAAAAAGTAAGAATATAAAAATAAAAAGATCCTTCTTTTAATTAATTCTTTTAAAATCAGTACACATTAGTCGGATATAAATAAACTTACAAACAAAACCAATTTACTTGGTTTTTAATTTTTATCTAAATTAGTTAGCTTTGTTCGAATGTGAACACTGCTATTTCCATGGGCTGGAGTCACTGCCCCTTTTTCTCCTTTTGATGAATGTCGCCGACTGTGGAGTCCATTTCAACGGGTTGTTGCCTAACAAGTCCCGCCACGTTTTAGCTGAATATTGCCAGTCCACCTTGGCTGTTTAGGGTGAGTCATTTTCTCCACTTGAGAAATATGTGGACGTTAGGGAAAGGTTTATCTTTATTAATAAAAATATTAAGATTATTAAAATTATAAAATATTATTTTTAAAAAATTAATTTTATAGATGTTTATAAGAGACAGCTTAAAAGTTTGGTCCTTAAATTTTATTTTATTATTTTTATTCTGAATAGTTTTATTATTATCTCATTTACTTTTTTATTATTTAATATTACTTT